GTGTCTTTGCAAAGACACCTAGCTAAATAGTTTGGTTTCACGCTTCTTAGCAATTTCAAACAATTGCTGAGTAGTCTCAAAGACGAGGATTTTTAAAAATAAAGAATGCAAAATTTTCTTCTGAACTTCTTAGGTCGGAAACTCAAATGTAACCTAGTGAAAATCAAATGGTGCAGTAGTCAGTGAGTGATTGAGGTAACTTTTCAGTCAAAACCACAAGAATATTCTGCTATATTCATCGATAAAAATACCATTTCTATTGAATTACTTATTTATTTATCTTACTGTTTGGTAACTAACTCTGATCATTGTTTTTCCAGTTCAAATATTAAAAACAGTTGTGAGGACTGAGCTGAAGTAATCTTCTGCAGTCTTGGTCACCAAAAACAGAGAACTGACATGCAAGAAGAAAAATTTCACATTCTTTGTGTTCTTCGTTTGTCATTGACGACCTCACTGTACTGTTCATTCCTTTCGCGGAATGAGAACGAGCGCCTAAAACAAAAGCGGTAACGAATTTTGGGGCGATGACGGACTGAAACTGAAAGTCGGTTTTGCTTAGTGTTAAAGAAAGGGTTACAAAAAATTCGTGTTTTACAACACGATTTACCAAAACAGAGCAAACCTGCTGAAGAAAGGTAAAAAAAGCACCAAGGAAAGGGGAGAAGTAAACAACTATTTTATCTTTTGTACTGTTCCAAGATGTTTGAAAAAGTTTTAGAAACAACTTTGTTTCTGCCAATCTCTATCGGCATGTGAAAAATGTTTTTCTTCATTTTTACGTTCTCTGTTTCAACCAATAAAAGTAGAATAAAAAAGTTTCAAGGTAATTTGACAGTCTAGTAAAAGAATTTCTCATTATGTTCGACAGCAATTCAGAAAATTCAAGTCAAGTTTTTCGGTACTTTTTTAAGAACTGTGACAACCAAATACAGTTTTTTTACTGTATTTTTATTTTAAAACTTCTCTCATTTTTCAGTTTATCGATATGCAGTAATTACTTTTGCTTTTTTTCACCATTTTTTTTTTCACTGCAAAAACCAAAAAGTAAAGACTATAAAACTAGAAAACATACACATGACAGATATAAAACTCATAGGAATGCAAGAGCAGAAAAAGTTTACAAATTGCAGAAAGTGTGACCGAGGTGGAAGATAAAGATCTTATTTTAGCTCAAATTTACAATTCAAATAATGTTGTTATACCGTTCAGAGCAATCAGTGTATGACAACTATCCACATGCTTCAAACTGGCTTTTGTCAAGAAAAATCTGCAAACCAGTCACTGCATAACTTGGGCTTTTTTGTGTCACAAAAGTTACACACTTATTACTGCAGGTATTACTAGATACTGGTTTAAAATACCAATCTTATCTTGTTTACACCTCTGTTACCACAACACTGCGCAAAAATGATAAGATTTGAAAAGTAAAATTTGTAAAAATTGATCTTTTTTGGCCAAAAACCAGTATTGAATTGGCTAGTGCAAATTCAAGTAAATTTACCAACACAGACAGCAATTACTTAGTAGGTCAGCTGAGAAGACATTTTCTCAAAAATTTATTTAGTATTTCTCCGAGAGAATCATACACTTGATAAAGAACACTGCGGATAAGTGCAGTCTATATCAACAATAGGCGTGTTCAGGTCCAATTTCAGTTCGGTGTGATCTTTTACGAGCCTACGATCAATTTTTACCTCTGTTCCCTAACAAAGAGAAGTTAGCTGTTGCCGCAAATTAGAGAAAAAAATTGAAGTTGCAACATTTTTCTACCGGTTAAGAAAGCCAACTAGTCTTAGTCAATAGATAAATCTTACAGTTGCTTCACTTCAGCAATCCATCTCGTTAGCAATCTCACTTAAAAAATAATTCAACTATTTCTGCTTCAACTATTAAAAAGATAAATTTTTGCAGGTAATAAAATACTTAATGAAATAACCAGTCACCAACTTTTAAATTGCCCAGCCTGGATATCATAAGATATTTTGTAGTGATAATTGCAGTAAATATGTAGTCCACAGTGCACAACAAACCTTCACGAAAGTAGCAGCTGAAGAATTTTCAAAAAACTTTAGAAATTCAACCAAGAATTGTATGTTTGTCCGCGTTTCTTAGTATTCTTAAATATTTGCTTTAAGTATGAAATCTTTGCCACCTTTCATTCAACTTGGGCTTCTCTTGAAAAACGATGGTCAGCAATAAAACTAGTTGCACATACTTATGCCAATAGAACAGATTCTAATTGATTCTCTTGACAACTTCAAAAAAGGTGTAATTTATTTAGTACAAAGAGTTTTTGAGAAATCAGTTGAATTACTAACGATTTACACAAATGATTCTTCTGTTATGAGATCGTTTGATAAAAACTTTAATTGATATCACTGACGTCAATAAGTTTAAATATTAATCTAAATCTTAGACCCCGTGTTTAATAGCCATTAGAAACGATGTGTTATGATGTTTTACCTTCATTATTTATTTGCACATCTTTTTGTATGCCTATACATTTCTACATATTATATTGTTATGTTATGTTCTACTTTACTATACTTACTCTTACTCTTTTGAACCAGAGTCTTCAACCTTGAAAATAAATAAACATTAAAAGAAAAGAGAGCATATTACATATAATTAAAGCTAAACAAAAATCATCAATATGAAAAAAACCTTATCTACTCACTTTTGTTATGGTAAGGAAAACGCTGTCTGTTTTACTCGACAAGTGTGTGCTGCAGCGAAGCGACTACTACAAAATTTGAGAAAATTACCAAGTTTAAATTTTTTTAACTGTTTCGTTTCTACTTCAAAAATCCAATTTTCTTTTGAACTTTAAATATAACTTCTCCTTTGCAAAACAGTTTACTGTTTTTGAGCAGCCTAACAGAACAACGATATTATAAAACAAGAGAAAAAAGTTATATTTTTGGCCCTTTTTTCTTGTTGAATAACTGTTCACTGTGACTCTCCTGGTCAGTCTGTAACCAAATTTTGCTGTCACACGAGTCTCCAATATTTGATAACACGATCTTTACTTCAAGATTGACAATACAACACGCCAATTAGCCTCAAACTTGGGTAATTAAACCCTTTATATAACATAAAAAACAGTATAAAAACGTCAAATCATCAGTATAAACAAAACTAATCACAAAACTAAAATAAGACAAAAAAGGGATCACTCCTTCCTTCCTACTGTTCGTGCGTGGACTTTCTTATATAACCTGCTCCAGCGAGTTATCATTCTCTGCTTTATCTTCTTCCTCGCCCGGTTTAAAGCTGGAGATGTCAGGATCGGCCCCTCCTTTTCAGTATCTTCCTGATAAATCATATCGGTTGCTTCCGGAGTTTCCTGGGGTGTTTTATCTTCGCCTTTCGGCGACACTCCCCGGCACCAGCTTTCTAATTCGGCTGGCAGATTTTCCAAATGTACGCCCAGTAGTTAAGGAGTACCCGGCGTACACGATATTCCTTTTCTAGCAGTCCTTTCCGGGTATCCCTTTTTGCTAGACAGGTGATGCCCAGCCCTTCTTTATAGATGCTGAGCATCTGGTGGAATGCATGGATGAGGCTGGTCATCGGTTCCGCCT